TCATCACACAGGCATTCATGTGAAGCTATAAATCCATGTAAACGGTCAGTCTGTAGAGGGAGCAGGGATTTCTTTAGCTGGGGGTGAACCCACCCCTGTTTGATTCCAATACCCATGCTGATATCTACCCCTCACTCTGCCCTCTTGGGCGAACGTGGAGATTTCCATCATGTTTCAGGGCCTGGGTTCCAATGGTCCTTCCCACTACACGTTTTGCCTCAAGGCCCAAGTGAGTGTTTATTGTCCACAAACTTCTGCCCCTGTGTCCTAGCACCTGTTACCACAGTCAGTGACACGTATTTGTCAGGCCACTGGACTAACCTTCATTTTCCTCCCTGGCATGAAGTCTGCAGAAGTGGGATCATGCTTTTTTATTCAGTGTAAGGATATTGTTCTTATTCAATGATCTGATCTTCACTTCCTTGTGTGTTTTACATGAAACCAGCATATGAGATCTCAAGTTTCCAGTTGGCACCTCATCTGGAGCACCCTAAATGGATAGGAGCCAGTGATGGATATTTGATTGTCTTTCCCAGTGGGCCATACTTGCTCCTCTTCAGCATCACTGGCTTCCTGCTGCAACGATTTCAGGACCATCAGACACCCATCAACAACTTCTGGGCGGTATGTATGATTCTCCTCCACTGCTTTGTGATCTGACTTTGACTCCTTGGCCACTAACTCTGGCTATCCTTGGAAGGATGCTCTCTATGTGCTCACCACATCCAACAACTCTGTCCACCTCTACATGTGGGAAGAGGGAGGCCGCCCTCCATACCTCAGGAGCTGCTGTCACCTGGACAATACATGGCGTGATCACATGTCACATGGGTAAGCTCTGCTTTGTGACTTAAAGGTCCCCTGAAAACTTTTCTTTTTTTAGGTGGAATATTGCCCTGTTGCCAGGCTAGAGTGCAGTGGTGCAATCTCGGCTCACTGCAACCTCCGACTCCCTTGTTCAAGCGATTCTCCTGCCTCAGCCTCCCGAATAGCTGGGATTATAGGCACACATCATCACACCCAGCTAATATTTGTATTTTTAGTAGAGACAGGGTTTACCATGTTGGCCATGATGGTCTGGATCTCCTGACCTGATGATCTGCACACCTTGGCCTTCCAAAGTGCTGGGATTACAGGTGTGAGCCACTGTGCCTGGCCAAAAGCTTCTAATTTCTACATCAAAATGAATGAAGGGAGAACAGGGATTTTATTTTTTTTTTTAAGATTCTTTGAGGCTAGCCGTCAATACACTCATGCCTGAAAAGAGAATTGCTAGTGTCCTTGAAGTCATAGCACTTGCAATAGATATTAAAGGTCTTCCCAAGGAGGCTTTCAATTTATATTCCCATAAGCAGTGGATAGATTCTGACCTCAATACCCTGTCTTGCTGAGTGGTACCTTTTGGGAGTCCATTCGTCACTTGGTTGCTGCTTCAGTGAGCTGCCTCTCCCTCCATCTGGCTGATTTTTGCCCCAGGTTTGTTTGCCTATAAATTGTTTTTCTTGAGATTTCTTGTAGTACATGTAGAAGTCTTGTGTCTTAAAGCTTTATAGACATTTTCTTCCAGATTATTGCTAGTCATCTTAACACTTATAGTGCTTTTTTGGCAACATCTAAGAAAAGACATATACCCTTTGCACTGCCAATGCCACTAAAAAGAATTTGCTGTGAAGGTTTATCTCCAATGATTCAAGTACATTGGCTGTTCACTGCAGCATTTGTGACAGTCAAGAGCTGAAGCTCCCTAACTGCCCAAACATGAGATTGTTTATATTACCGTCGTATATCCACACAAGGAAGTATCATGCAGCTGGTATTAACTTTTTAAAAAGGAGAATGTCTATGTTCAGATAAGTTATTTCTAGTGTTTTGAGGCAAAAATACTTTAAGTATCTGTAATCATGCTTAGCTGACTTTCATGGTTTTTGCTCTCTGTATCATGTCAATAAATCTTAGCCTACAGCAATCGTAAATACTTATTTCCTTTCAGTAATTTCAAATACTTCCCTGGATTTGTTTTCTCTCTTCCATTTGAATGGGTGTATGGTGACTCCTGATTGTGATATTTACCATGTCTTTTCCCAATGACATTGAGCAATGTTTTATTTCCCATCTACATATCTTCTTTGATGCATTTCTTCAAATCTTTGGACCTATTTTTTAATTGGGTTGTTAATATTGAGATTCTTAATATTGAGTTTTGATAGCGGTTTATAAATTTGGCGTACAACTCTTTTATCCGATAAGGGTTGGCAAATATTTTCTCCCACTCTGGTTTGTCTTTCTATTCCCTTCATAGTGTCTTTCAAAGAGCAAGTGTTAACTTTGAAGTACAATTTTCCTTCTAAAATGACTGGGCTTGGGGGATTGTATCTACGAAATCTTTGCCTAACCCAAGATCACAGAGATGTTCCAAAATTTCCTCTAAAAGTTTTATAGTTTTAAGTTTCACATTTATGTCTCTGATGCATTTTGAGTTAAATTTTATAAGAGGAAGGGAAAGATCAATGTTTGTTTTTTGCATATGACTATTCACTGATTCAGCACCATTTGTTAAAAAAAACTCTTCTTTCTCCATTGAATTGCCTATGTACCTTTGTCCAAAATCAACCATATTTACATAGGCTAATTTTCAGACATTCTCTTTTGTTCCAATCATCTCTATGTGTATCTCTTATCAAATAACATACTACATTGAAAATATAACTTTATAGAAACTTTGAAATCAGATAATGTGAGTCCTCTAATTTGTTCTTTTCCAAAATTATTCAGACTATTCTGATTTCCTCATTTTCCAAGTGAATTTTAGAATTGGTTTGTAAATTGTTATAAACATTCTGCTGAGGTTTATATTGAAATTTGTTTGAATCTAGAGAGTAATTAGGTGGAAATCGGCATCTTTACTATTTTGGCTCTTTAAATACATGCACCTGAATGTCTCTTACTGTTTTTAGGCCATCTTTAATTTATCAGTGTTTTTGCAGTTTCATAGGATAAAGATCTTGCACATATTTGTAAAATTTATACTTAAATATTTCATGTTTTTGGTGCTATTATAAAGAGTAGTGGCTTATTTCCATTTCCATTTTTCATTACTAGTATATAGAAATCTGACTGACTTTTGTATATTGACCTTGTATCCTGCAACCTTGCTAAACTCATTTATTCTAATAGCTTTTATTCATAGATTGGTAGATACTTTGTGCTTTCTCTATGTAGACAATCGCATCATCTGTCAGTACAGTTTTCTTTCTTTTTGTTTTTTTTAGATGAAGTCTCCCTCTGTCACTAAGGCTGGGGTGCAGTGGCATGATCTCAGCTCACTGTAACGTCTGCCTCCTGGGTTCAACCAATTCTCTGCCTCAGCCTCCCTAGTAGTGGGATTACAGGCACACACCACCATGCCCGGCTAATTTTTTTGTATTTTTAGTAGAGACGGGGTTTCACCATCTTGGCCAGGCTGATCGTGAACTCCTAACCTCACGATCCACCCACCTTCGCCTCCCAAAGTGCTGGGATTACAGATGTGAGCCACCACACCCAGCCTTTGTCTTTTCCAATGTATGCCTGGTTGTTCTTCCCTTACTGCATTGGCTATAACCTCCTGTGTGGCATTGGAGTGGAGAGCCAATATCCTTGCATTGCATGAAAAGTGTTTGATCTTTCACCATTATTACTATGTTCACTGTATGTTTTTGTAGATGTTCCTTACTGGATTGAGGATGTTCTCTTCAAGTCCTAGATGTCTGAGAGGTTTTTCAAAAAAAAAAAAAAATGAATAGATGTTGAATTTTCTCAAAGGCATTTTCTGCATAAATTGATATGAGCATATGGGTTTTCTTTTTTAGATTATTAGTAAGGTGAATTATATTGATTTTCTTTTTTGTTAGTGGTCAGGACAGAGTATCTTATTAAGCTTTAACAAATTATATATTTATGGGGTACAGTGTAATGTTTTAGATGTATATATTGCAGAATGATTAAATCAAACTAATATATCAGTTGCTTCAAATGCTTATTTTTATGGTAAAAATACTTAAAATCTACTCTCAGCAAATTTGTAAATATGATACGCTATTAGGAACCACGGTCACCATGCCGTGCCGCAGATCTCTGCAACTGATTCCTCCTGCCTAACGGAAACGCTGGGCCCTTTGACCAACGTCTCCTTGTTCCCTCTCCCTCCTGGCCTCTGTTACCCACCATTCTACTCTCTGCTTCTGTGTGTTCGATTTTTTTTTTTTCTTTTTCGAAGAGTCACACATAAGTGAGATGATGCAGTATTTGTGTTTCTGTGCTTGGCTTAGTTCCCTGAACATAGTGACCTCCAGCTTCATCCATGCTGTTGCACATGACAACATTCCCTTCTTTCTAAGGCTAAATGGTATTCCAGTGTGTGTGTGTGTGTGTGTGGGTGGGTGGGTGTGTGTGTCTGTCTCTGTGTGTGTGTCTGTCTCTGTGTGTGTGTCTGTCTCTGTGTGTGGGGGTCTCTGTGTGTGGGTGGGTGTGTCTGTGGGTGGGTGTGTCTGTGGGTGGGTGTGTCTGTGGGTGTCTCTGTGGGTGGGTGTGTCTGTGGGTCTCTCTGGGTGTGTGTGTGTGTGGGTGTCTCTTCGTGTGGCTCTCTGTGTGTATGTGTGTCTGTGTGTGTGTGTGTGTTGTGTGTGTGTGTATGTGTGAGTTCTTTGTGTAATTTTGGTGTTAGGATAATGCCTCATAAGATGAGGGGGAAGTGCTCTCATCTTCCATTTTCTGGCAAAGATTGTGTAGGATGGGTGTTATTTCTGCCATAAATGTTTAGTAAACTTCTTCAGTAGAATAGTCTGGGCCTGGAAATGAGTTTTTTTGAAAAGTTTTTAAGCTATAAATGCCTTAATAGTTATAGTACAACTCAGATTCTCTACTTTATGATGGGTGAGTTTTTGTGGTTTGAATTTGCAGCAAACAGTCATCTTATCTAACTTGTCAAGTGTGTGTCGATTTGTTCCTTTCAATTCTCTTAATGCCCATAAAATTTGTAATATGAGCTCCTTAATTCATAATATTGGTAATATGTGTCGTTTTGTGTTTTTTTTGTTTTTGTTTTGTCTTTTTTTTGGTCAGCCGTGGAGCTTATTAATTTTAATTGTCTTTTCAGAGAAACAGCTTTTGTTTCCTTTTTATTTTATTTATTTATTTTTTTACAACCCCTATTTCGCCATTCTCAATTTATCTATGTTGGCTTTTAAATTTTATTATCTTGCTTCTGGTTATGTTTATTTTGCTATTTCTTCTGGTTACTTTTATTTTGCTAATGTTTCTAGTTTTTGTTTGGTTTTGTTGTTGTTGTTGTTTGTTTTTTAAGAGACAGAGTCTCAGTCTGTCAGGCTGGAGTACAATGGGGTGTTAGCTCACGCAACCTCTGCCTTCTGGGCTCCAGTGATCCTTCCACCTCGGCCTCCAGAGTAGCTTGGATTACAGGGGCACACCACCATGCCAGGCTATTTCATTTTTTGTAATTTTTCTTGAGAGAGAGATGGGGTTTTGCCAGTTTGCCCAGGCTGGTCTTAAATTCCTGGGCTCAAGCAGTCTATCTCAGCCTACCAAATTTCCGGGTTTACAGGCATGAGTTACTGTCCCTGACCTTTTTTCTAGTTTCTTAAGGTGGATGCTTAGATTATTGATTTCCGACCTCTATTTTAAAAATATAAGTGTTTGTTGTTCTAAATTCTCCACTAAACACTGCTTTAGCTGCAAGCCTCAGATTTTGATTTTCATTTTCATTCAGTTCCATATACTTTATTTCCCTTTTCCTCCTTGAGCCATGGACTTTTCTGAAGTATGTTTAATTTCTA